TCCCTCCCTATCATCAGTCAATGCCAACTCATAGCAACCCTATAGGACTGAGTAGACCTGCCCCCATGGGTTTCCAGATTTGTAACTCTTCATGGGAGTAGAAAGGCCCATCTTGATCCCGAGGAGCAGCTGGTGATTTTGAACCTTGAGGTTAGCAGCCCAATGAGTAACCACTACACCACCGAGATCCTTTTTTCTAGGCTGTGGATAAGCTTGCAATACATTTTAAAAGGCCTCCTGGTTATTCAAAACTCCAAGATCCCCAGCTAGGAACAGGAAATCAATTCATCCAATTGAAAAATTGGTCTGACCAAGCTAACACGAGTCCTAAAGGCCGTATTTATCCTTTTGACATGTATCTAGAGGCAAGTACACATTTGCCTGAAGAGATACTGAGTGTGGATGAAGTTATACCTAGACATGCCTGCCCATCGGTATATCATGGAAATGGACGGTGCGAGCACCAGCTGCATCCCTATGTAAGTTGCAAAAAAAGCTAAAAGCCTATTATTAGCTCTCAGCAATGCTAATGGAAGCATCATGCCCGCTGCTTTCCAGAACTGAACTGAAATTCATCATGTATTTCATTAGCTAATACTATCGAGTGCACAAGAAATTTGCATTCCAGCTTTCATCCATCTATGACTTTTATGCACAAAGGCCAAGGGGCTATTGAATTATGGAAACTAATTTTGCCAACACGTCGCAACCACTCCAGCTGCTAAGGAATCAAAAGGGTAATGGAGAGTGAACTAATGCTTCATCATTCAACCCTCCATTACGGCCACCTTGACCTCCTAGAAATCCATTTTAGCCCCTGGGAATACATAAGGGCCTCACTAACCAATCTTTATTCCCCGTGGCACTTCTTTTTGAGGTGAGGATGACATTGGGACTCCTTCCTCTAGTGATGGTTAACTTTCCTGTCTCCACAGACCACCAATATCTCAGAAAGTGAGCTTAGGAATCCTGTCTTTAATCCTGGTTAAAGCATACACCCTAAAAAACCAGGGATTTCAAAAGCACAACCAAACAAAATTAACTCAAAAAGCCATGCCTGCAGATTGCTTATCAGTAAGCACAAGCCAATCAGGTAAATGGCACCTTGTTTTAGCTGATCATTACTTAAAGTAAGGGGGGTGGGGCAGGCAAACACTTGATTTGGTCCATTTGGGATCCACTTAGAGCATACGATGAACCCAAGTGATGGCCTTGATTTCATAATTAAAATGGCTTTGACCATACTTTGTCCTTTACAATGTAGATTCTGGTGCCACATTTAGCCAGAGGCAGGCATGGGATCTTAGCTAAGTAAGTCCAAGGGATTGCAGCACATGTGCCTTCAGTCTCCATGGAGGAAGATCATGTTGCCGAGTAGTAAGAATCCCCACTAGTAGTCAAAGTGACTGACAGGTGTTTACATGCAGATTGTCGCCACTCTTATTGAGAAATGACTGGGTTCCGTGTTTTTTTTTTAATCCGGCATCAACTTTCATGATACACAGCACCTATTTTGTAATTAGTAGATTTTCTCTGTGCCCTTCAATTTTGTTATTGAATATCTATGCTATAACCACACAGCAATGTTTGCTTTGTGAGTTGACTCACAAATACCAACCTTACCGTTGTGGTTAGACTAGTTCCCATTCAGCAGTATAAAATGGTCTTTATACACATTCCATAAAAAGTCTTGTGGTGGAATAAGATTGGTTAAATCATATGTGAGTTTCCTTTCTGCAGGACTTCTCAGATTGCTGAATATGCCAATGAGCACTGGGAATTTCCAAGAAAGGAATCTGATTTGCAGCATTTCACGTCATTTAACCACCAAAACCAAACCAAACTCCCTGCCATCAAGTTGACTCCAACTTACAGGACAGAGTGGAAGTTCCTCTGTGGGTTTCAAAAACTGTCAATCTTTAGGAGAATAGAAAGCCTCATCTTTCTCCTGAGTATCAGCTGGTGGATTCGAACTGCCGACATTGTGATTAGTAGCCCAACACGTAATCCACTACATCACCAGAGCTCCTTTTATTTAACCACAGAACCCTTTCTAAAAGAGTTTCTAGTTGGCAGGAAGATGGGAACAGTTCTTGGAATATACTTTAGTGAAATGTTGAAATGGTGACTGCCATGTAAGTAACACGAGCCATGTGGGTGATATTTCCACTCCTTTAGAAGCCCCCTTTCTCTTTGGATAAACAGACTTAAGAATAGTGAGTTCTTGGTGCATTGATGGGAGAAAGATGAGGCTTTCTGCTCCTGTAAAGACTTACAGCCTAAGAAACCCACCGGGACACTTCTACACTGTCTTGTAGGGTGTCTGTGGATTGGAATCAACTTAATGACAGTGAGTTTTTTTAGTTTGCTGCATTGAAAGCAAAGAGCTTCTCAGAAACATAACCTGGCACACAGGTGAATCTCTTTATGGAAATTAATTTAACATCAAGAATTTATAAAGCATCCACAATGCACTAGGGACTGAATATGAAAATAATAATAAATTACGGCAACTTTAATTCTGCATAGTAAAAGACAGAGCATTTTCCTCTGAAAAAGAGGCATTTGAACTAGATGTTAAAGGATTATTCCCCCTCCCCCCACCAAGTTTCAAAATGTGTAAAGAGAGACCTTTCGGAGAGAAAGAAGAGAATGTACAGAGGCACAGAGATTTGAAAGAGCATTTTTCTGTTCCACAGATAGGAATCTGTGCTTGAAGGAGTCGGGGAGGGCGTGCCACTCTGCATGGACTGCTGTAAGAAAGAAAACTGACTGATCTCAGGACTGCTGGTTACTTACCTAGGTGCAATCGACCCAAATTTTGGAAACGCATTCTAAGAATAACTGTGGTCAGGTAGGGGGAAGAGAATTAATATTTATTAAGCACTTACTTTGTGCCAGTTTATTTATATATTTGGCATCATATAACCATGAATTATATAATAATTTTGGACATACTGTATGTTACAGAATGGCTTTATGTCCCTATTTCATCTGATGTTCACACCAATGCGGTGAGCATGGGCCCTTTGTGTGAAGCTCAAGAAGATTAAAGCTATTTGCTCAAGATCACATAGTAAGTGAAAATACCAAGACTAGGAAAAAAGTCTTCGATATTCTTGATTTGTATTTGCTCCATATTGCTTCAAGAGGCTGAAGGCACAGGGAAACAGATTTATACTCGATATTTTAAAAATCCTTCAAAAAAGCAAAGCTGATACTCAAAAAAGCAAAGACTAGGTTGTCTTGTAAATGGTTGAGAATATCCCTGTCTTAGGTGGAAGCTAAAGGGTTACAATTTCTAGGGCCATTCTGAATTCTTTTTTTTTTCATTCTGAATTCTTTAAGAACCAAATGTACGGTCTGAAGTGAGGTGGCCATTTCACCACGTACCGAATAGGGGGGAGGGAGGGATTAAAAAGACAGTGTTTTCGTGTGCTTGTGGGGGAGAAAAGTCCACCAAGTTAATCTTTTCTAGTGTTAATTTTCTAATTGCTAGTAGAAAGGAACATAATTTTCTCTGGTAATCTCAAAAGAAAAGACAAGCTTTAAAGATAATGTTTAAAACAAAAACAAACAAACAAAAAGAAAGGACAATAACGTTGGTTTTCTTCCCCCCAAAGAGTGTTTCTCCCAGATGAGGACTGCAGTGATTAAGCCTGCTCATAGGCAGCCTGCATTTATTATATACTGACGTTCAGAAGAGAGCGATTCTTGGAGAGATGTTTAGGAGTTGGATTTTTTCCCCCCAACATCCTAGGTAAACTCCATTACTTTGGTGCAAGCACAAACCACATATAACCCACAATTCTATGTATTTTCTCAGACCACAAGAAGGTAAGGGCAGAGATTAAAGCCACCTATTTATCAAAAATTGTAAAGTATCTGAGTTTGAGTTTGCCCCGAAACTTAAAATCTTGGAGTACACAGTAGTAGATGCCAGAGATGAAAGGGAGGAGACATGGTGCTACATTTGAACACTTACCAGTGATTTGGGTGTACAGTCCATCTGATTATTCAGAATCTCTATAGACGGTCAAACATTGAAGGTATTTTAAGAGATGGAAAGCTTAGACTGAGAAGCTACACTTGTCTTCTCTGACAGGGGACCAGGATTCTCTTTAGCACCAACAGAACCAGCCATACTTCCAATTGCTTTGGAACTTTTTAGTCATATATTTACCACTCACTCTGCTCAAAAGACTAGTGCATCTGTCCAATGGAGACGTCTGGCCGCATTCTTTTCCAGATATTAATATAGGTAGCACTTTAGTAGCACAACCAATGACATGGAGAAACTGATTTGGAGGGGGAACAGATGGCAACATCTTTCTGAGGCTAAATTTAGGATCTTGAAATAATCTCCTCCTACAAACCATTAGTGAAACCAAATTAAGACAGCTACGTTATCCCATGGGAAAGGGAAAGAGAGATTTGATGGCAGTGAGTTGGGGGGGGGGGGGGGGTTTTTTTTTCCTTTTTTTTTTTTCCTGAGTGTGAGGCAAAGACAACAGACCAGAGATTTCAGTGTTCCCGCATATGTGACTCCCTTCATAGCACAAAGAGTCGCTTCAACCTCTGTTCACCAGAACGGCTATGTCAAATAAGCAAGAGTGGGCAAATCTCACATACAGTCACATGCATTGAAACCACCAATCAGATAATCATCATTGTATCATGTTAACGGCTAAGTCATATTCATAAGGATGTGGTAAGAACTAGATTCTGACACTTCTTTTCTTAGCAGATAAGGAAGCTGAGCTCAGGAACCATTCAACTTGCTGAATCAGAAGCAGATTGGATCTCCAAGCAGAAGTGGCCTCTCCTAGTGCTTGGCTCCCTGAAAAGACCTTTCTTTTACATGAGATTATGTCATCTCAAGTAGGGACAATGAGATATTGAGGAGTGTTCCCCAACTGGAAGCGATGCAGGTCCCAGATCAGCACCCAAGAATTTAGGGCAAGTGAGAAAAAAGAGCTAGTTTTCAAAGGTATCTGTACCTGTTTTCCATCCAGAGTGTAGAGTTTCTTGACAACCCCAGTCTCCAGTTTGATGGCTTCTGTGATGTCAGTGAGGACTTGCTCAAAGGAATGAGCTGTCTTCTTGTTCAGAAGCACTCGCACAGCCTTCCTCGGTTTCACCCCACTGCGGATGATGGTCACCAGCTTGGGACGCACAAAGTCCTTGTTCTCCCTGGCCTGGCCGCTGTTGCTGCTAGCCAGGGATTGAGGGGCTTTCATATTGGCTGAGGTCTTCACGTTGACAGACCAGTTCGGATTGACATTCTTGGTGTACTCCACCTTTTTAAAGAAGTTGTCTGAGGAGCACACATAGCTTTCCCCTAAGGGAGGAAATAAGTGGTCAGACAGTTAGTTTAACAGCGGCTACCAGTGGGGTATTCTAATCAACTGCACTTTGACAGAGGGTGGAACTTTCGGAGGACTAATGGTCATTACCACATGGAGGCATAATTCCTAATGGGCCTCTTTAAAAATTTGACTCATTCAAATTCAGGAGCAAGTGACCATCAACAACAACAACAACAACAACAAATCCTTCAATATAATGGCTTACCTCTTTGAAGAAGCCTGTTGGGTTAACTAATGGTTTTATGAATAATGAACAAACCTAAGTATAACCTAATAAGTGGATTCCATATACTTGATAGGTTTTATTGGAATTGAAACCTGCATGGTAAATTGTAGTATGGCAAAAATTTGTTTTAAAATCATTTTATAGGTTTGTTAGCTTCTAGGGCCATCACCAGAGTGTTACTTTAATGGGCCTCAGTTCCTGTGTCCTATCACCTCATATTTTTGTAATATTATGAATGAAGGAGAACATTCCATGTTAATATATTATATCCCAAGCTCAAATGACTCGAGTGACCTTTCCTATTGAATGTATACTTCATACTTTACCAGAAGCCCGATTATTTGTAGTTTACAAGGGTACGTGGTCAAGCAATGAAGAACCAAAAGCTAAACTCACTGCCATCAAGTCGATGAGGACTCATAGTGACTCTATCAGACAGAGTAGAACGGCCTCTGTGGGTTTCTGAGACTGGACGCCTTTACAGGAGTAGAAAGCCCTGTCTTTCTCCTGCAGAACTGCTGGCAGTTTTGCACTGCCAACCTTAAGCAATAGAATATTGAAATGTGAAAAGGTGTGTGTGTGTATGTGTGTGTTGTGTGAATATATATATGTCTATAGATTTTGTCCTACATTATTAAACTCCACACACAAGTGGAAAACCTGATTAGCAACCTGAATCTGTATGCACATCCATTCACAAGCATGTGCATGGGCACGGCCGTGTACACACACACACACACACACACACACACACACTGCCTTTTATCTGTGAGGCTAATTGCTGTGGAGAATCAACTATTGAACTTCACAATCGACCTGAACCTTGCAAAACACACTTGTCTGTTTCCATCACCCATCTTTGACCTTCCAAGCCTCCCAAACGATGCACACTAAATCTGGGTCTCTGGGGTGACGTTCAACAGTGCTCACCCTTGGCTGCCACAAGTGATGAGGTGAGATGACATCAGACAGCCTGGTTTAGGGATTGGAAGGATGTCCACATTTACCTTGGACTAGCGGAAATGACTAAAACACCGGGAGAAAGACAGGAGCCAGAGGCAAGAGATGAGGACTGGACATGCAGGACCAGAGGCTGGAGAAAATATGAGGAGAGAGAGGCTCAGCCTGGGGGGAATGCTATTGGAAAAGGTCGAATTTGTTGAGTAAGAAACATTAGCCTCCAGGTATACAGAAGTTCATCCAGTGGCTGATCTGCACAAAGCCGGTGTGATTTAATCAGATTTCAGTCAATCAGTAATAACCTGACATGAGTAAATAAAGGAGTGCCGGGCTGTGCAAGGAAAGCGTGAAACACAATTAAAGCCTGATGGCTCTTCCCATTCCCTTGGTCTCAGCAGGCGAATCATGCAGATCTTCAGAAACCCCGGGCTGAGAATTCACTCCCTTTGCAAATATTGATCGTTTTGTTGTAGCACCAAATCCTTTAAGGCATGTTAATTAATAAATTCCTCCATTAGCGCTGAGAAGATTCAGTCAGATTCTCTAGGGCACCTTTGAGGACACTGATGAGTGTGGAGGGGAAGGGAAATGGCTTCCAAAGTATGTGCCCAATGGTTTCCAAAGCTGCCCGATGGCCCAGAAGCCTCGAGTGTTCTGTCTGGCCTGAGAGTGGACGGGCCCGGAATGGTGTTGTGGGTGAGCACAGGCATCCTGCCCCACCTGGTGCACACAAACATATCCTAGGATGGGATGTTTAAGGGTTCTCTCTGCCACCTCTGATCAGCAGGGTTGGGTAGACTTCACTAACAAACAAGCTCACTGCCAGGAGTCTGTGCTGAGTCACAGCAGCCCCCTGTGGGTTTCCGAGCCTGTTACTGGTTACGGGCCTAGAAAGCCCAGTCTTTCTCCTGCGGAGCTGCTGGTGGTTTCCAACTGCCGGCCATGTGGATCACAGGCCATGCCAGAGAAATTCAGGCTTCTCTGGACTGGATTTTTAATTTGTGAATTAAAAGAATAAAGGGGCACTCTCTGTTCTTCTGTCATTTCACAGCCAGTGCCGCCCCCCACCTTTGAAATGGCTTAGCACTTCACCAGATTCATAGGCACCTTGCAAGAGGTCACTGCCTTTGAGTCAGATGTTTTCCATAACTTGTCATGTACTTTGAAACCTGGCCTGACAACTGGTGGTGGGGAAATGTGTGAGGTTATATATTTATGACTTCACTCCTCCACAGTCTTCTTCTGGAGAGTCAGCTGTGTAGCCCTATTAGGACTCTGGACTTTTTTTTTTTTGCTCCCATCTCTTAAACCTCTTAAACCTCTGAACTGTAAGTATGATTAACCACCCCAGATGAAAATGAACATGATGGCGAATAGCTGTAGTATCACTTGACACCCAAGAACTTTGCAGAGGGTCCAGCCCTCAGTCAAGTCTATGTTAAGCACCTTCCAGAGGGACATTTTAGTCACTGTACTCTCTCCTTTTGGCTCCAGTATGGGGCAGTGGAAAAAAACAGCTGATATGATGTCAGTCAGAATGGCACCCTGGTCCTGGCTCCACCATGTCCTAGCACTGTGTGTGTGCTAGGACAGCCTCCCTAACTTCCTTTGCCTTCCGCTTGTCTGCAGAATGGGCATGGTCACAACAAAGAACAAACAGCTAGGTCGTGGAGGAAGGGCAGTCAGAATTCTTCCTATAGGCAAGGATGCCAAGACTTCACCTCACATACTTTGGACATGTGATCGGGAGGCCTAAGTCCTTCTAGAAGGGCATCGTGCTGGTGATGTAGAAGAGCAGGGAAGGAAAGGAAGGCCCTCAGCAGTGGCTACAACAACGGGCTCACCCAGAGGCCGGGGCCAGGCCGGGCAGTGTTTCCCTCCGCTGTCAGAACGGACTCGACAGCACCTAACAACAACAAGCGTGACAATACCGCCTCATAGGGCTGTTTGAAGCACCAGTCAGCTGATGCACATGAAGCACAAACAATATATGCTAGCTGTCATGATTTTTAAACCTGTAATTTGAAAAAAGAGGGAGGAGAATGAGATAGAAAGAGCAAGGAGGAAAAAAGGATTAAGAAAAAGGAAAGGGAAGGAGTAGCAGAAGTTGAAGGGAAGGAAGCAAGGACAGGCATCGAGAAAGTGAGCTGTGATTATAATATAAACAATCATCACTGCCCGGGTGTCATAGCGTACAGATACAAGGGCCAATTGGTTCGAAAGAAGAGACCTCCAGTTGCTGCTAATGCCAAATGTAGATTTCTACAGCTAGCACCCAGGAGCCCTGGTAGTGTAGTGGTTATGCATTGGGCTATTAACTGCAAGGTCAGCAGTTGGAAACCACCAGCCACTCCTCCAAAGAAAGATGAGGTTTCTACTCTTGTGAAGACTTACAGTCTTGGAAAGCGTGAAACCCACAGGGGCAGTTCTACTCTGTCCTGTAGGGTCAACTCGGAGTTGAAATTGACTTGATAATAGGGAGAGAGCTAACACCCAGCAAAGCCACTGCTGCCACTGCGAAAGTCCCCTAAGGGCAAACTGTCGATGATGATTAAGAGCAGCAGCACAGGAGTCAGACAGACCTCAAAGCACATCCCACCCAGGTACATGACCTCCGACAACTGATATAATCACGGAATCTGAGCATTTCTATCTGTAAATCAAAGAAGGTATCACAGTAAGTAACTTACTCAATCTCTGTCGTCTCTTTCGTCCCTATACATGTCTAAGGAAAAGTTTTCTTCTTTCCATACCAAATAGGCTTTAGCATTTCACCTATTATGCTTTGGAAACAGTGTGACAAAGCTAGCGTGGTAATGACAGGTGAAAGAAATAATGCTCATCACTCAAGACTTGCGACTTCTAATACTAGAAAGACATCTAACGAGCTGCTTCTCCAGATCAAGACTTCCTTGTTGGGGCTTGGCAGACTTCTGCTGCCAGAGCTCAGTGTGTCTTGCCTGTCTAGCTCTCTGGCACTTGGAGTTGGGTGATGTGTGCTGCACCTTTACACAGCTGGGTTTCCATCCAGCCCCCCACTTCCAGGGGGTCATTTCCGGCTCTCTGCAAGCCTAGAGGAAAAGCTGGTTTCAGAGTAGAGCAAGGTGACAATTGTGTGTAATTGACTATCTGGGGGGGAGGAAGAAGGGAAATGAAGTCGTGGAAGGCCAGCTGCACAGGCAGGAAGGGAGGGAGCTGGGAGTTCAAGATGATCTCATGACTACCTCCCTTCACTTTCAGGAGGACCCAAAAGCATTAAACATCTCCTCTGAGTAAAACCACTTCTGCCTGGGGCTTCCTGGCTCCCGAAGATAAATATTATAGGTCACTCTGTTTTATCATTACACCTATAAATAATGCAGCCCTACCAGGTATCTGAAAATTCTCCTCTTTGGCAATGTGCTTGCTTCGGTAGGTAGAGGCCGTATTGGTGAGAAGGTGGTTTTATTTTCTTGGAGCACCTGAGCTATGGAGAAGGAACTTGATCATAGCTAGTGTCTCCATCCAGCTAAGATTTTCCAAAGTCATCCCAATTGTAAATATTCTGTCTCATGGTCTGCTTCATAATGTTTACACTTACCTCAAAATGGCATCAGACAAACAGACGCCATAAACAATAAACATAATACACAGTAAACATTAACGATGCCTCAAAAGTTGATATGGTGGTGTAGAGGGTGACAAGTTGGGTTCATGAAACACGGGCTTTCTATTCCACTTTAGATGTACAGTCTTGGACACCCACAGGGGCAGTGTTACCCTATCCTATAGGGTTGTTATGAGTCAGAATGGACTTGTGGGATTGCGTTTGTTTTGTTACCTTTTTTTTGGAGGGGGGAAGGTTGATCTAACTACTTATTTTAAGGAAGTGGGGGACGGGGGAAAGGAGTAGAGGATCTGCGAGGAGGCAGAAGGATTCTAAAGTGGAAAACTACGCGATGAAAAAGGAAAAGCTACCAGAAGGATTTCATTCATTAACCTACATCTTATATGGTCTCACTAAGATCTAGGTAGTCCTAAGGAGATGTGGGAAAGCTAACATCAACCATCTGACTTTGGTCCAAAATTCTTTCCTTGCTACACGTATGCAGCAGCAGAGACTAGACTGGAGCCTTTAGATAATGGGGTGCCAAAAGGCCAGAAGGATTACAAACCAATTTAAAAAAAATCTTTAGATTATAGAATTGATCTTTCTTAATGCAACCGTTTGGAAATAAAACATGTGCTATGCTCCTTTATTCTTTTAAAAAGTAAGAAACCCAATCAAACAAATAAGAATTTATAAATGCTTAGGTATACTCACCATGGCTAAAGTTAGCTAAAGGAGACCATCATGATCACCTAACCCAACACTGCCAAAGCCTAAGTATTCCTAGGAAATACCCAAGGGGTTTTGAAGAAACAGATTTCTTGGCCCTATCCCTGGGTATTTATTCTGCTTCTGCAGGTCTGGGGTGGAGCCCAGAAATCTGAATTTTTTTTCTGACTCTGCAAGATTCAGAAAGACCATTATATTTTGAAACCACTGGTTATCCCAACCCCTCATGAATATCATCACTGTCATTATGATTGTTATATTAATAACGTTATTTTTTCATCTTGTGTCTTTTTATATCACATTTCCCTCCTTACAAGCATCCTTAGAGATAGAGAGGACAAGTTCTACTAAATTCATTTTTTTAAGGATATGCAATGGAAAGGATCCTTACAATGGATAGGCAACTAGCCATACAATAGAATATTATTCAGCAATGAAAATGAATGACAGGTTGATATATGGTGCGACGTGGATAAACCGCAAAACCTTATGCTAAGTGAGAGAAGACTGTGACAAAGGAACACAGATTATGATTCCATTTACATGAAATGTCTGGAAAAAGCAAATCTACAGTGCTATCGATGGGGGATTAGCTAAGACCGAGAAGGCTAGGGAAAACAGTGAGTGACAGCTGGGTTTATGGACGAGAGCTGGTTTACGGTTTTCTTGAGAGGTGGGTATGAAAATAGTCTAAAATTAGAGTATGATGATGGTTTTACCACTTAGTATCTTTTCTGAAAATCATTTTAACTGTGCACTTCAAATGGATGAATTTTATGGAATGCAAAAATGCCTTAATAACTACCATCATAATGTTGTTTAACATAAAGATAACATCAATCATAGTGATGTTAAACGATGACAATGCCAACAATAATAGCTAACCTTTATCGGAGATGCCAAGCTAAATATTAAATAAAATACTACTAGTTCATAGCCAGGGAGAACGATGGGGATTTCTATTCCCATAAATAGTTGTAGTCCCTGAAACCCACAGGGTCAGTTCTACCCTGTCTTATAGGGTTGCTATCATTTGTCTTGATGGCAGTGAGAGAGGGAGAGTCTTCATAGCTGCTGTTATATTTAATTCTCCAAACAGTCTTTCCCATTGTACAGATGAAAAACACAAGGCACAGATGAATTCTAAATGATTTCTTCCCCCAAGGCCACATAAATTAGCAGGTGGTAGACCTTGGCTCTGAATAAAAGTTTGTGTGATTCCAAAGACTTCCCTTCCCCATCATAATCTACTCCTACAATTAGAACACAATAGCTTTGCCTTCTCCTTGAGATGTCCCCAAGCTTTGATTAATTGGAAGCCTCATGAGAAGCAGCATGCGTGAATTCTTGATCTTTCATGAAGCTTCTTCCAAAGGAAGTGACGATATTTCTGTTCCCCATAACTAGGTACATGATTTCTAGATACAGAAATAATAAGTGTTTCTAAAGCACAAAATGGAAGAGAAAAATACCCATTTTCTCCCCCCATCTCACCCCTGGGTCCTTTCCTGGTTTTGGTGCTATGATCTTTGGAAAAGTGGTCATATTTATTAACACTATCTCAATGCTACCTCGGAGTTTCATTGACTGAATTGGCAGTACTCAGGAGAAGGAAGCCATCGAAAGCCACTGTAGCTCATTTGTAGATGAATGCCAAATAAATTCAATTGAGCCCCAATAACACTCTACAAAGTCTGAGATTCACCAGGAAGCACCCCTGCTCCCTGGAGTGGTAGAGGAGAGGCATCCAATTCGGCAGGGCTCAAAAGAACTCAACGGAAAATCTGTCGATATTTTTTTTTCTCCAAAATGACATTTGTTAGCACTAGTGAATTGAGAGTGTTTATCAACGTTTACCCTCCAACACACACAACGCACACACATCCAGAGAGACAAAGCAGTATCCAGGGCTTATCCTTGAATAGGATGGAAAAACAAAAACAGAAATGGATTGTGAGGAGGAGGGATCTGTGCATAACACCTCTCTTATGTTAGACTCCAGAATATTCTGAGCCCTGTTCCTAATACAATGCCACTTGCTCCCGCATTCTTCCCCAGCATCCATTGTAGTCTTTATGTGATCACAGCTAGTGTAAATGAGAGCCTATTTGGTGACTCACACTGCTTTGTTTGTGAAAGTTACTATAGAGAATGCCTCAAATTCAACTGAGGTATGGATTTCACAGTGACAAAAGATACACACACACCCAATTGATTACTTTGTTGGACAGCTCCCTCAATTTCTTCCTAAGCCCCTGACTTTCGCCCCAACTTTTATTTTAACGATTTGTGGGAAGGCGGCCGACTCTTCAGTGGTCAGGAAAGCCCTAGGATTAACCTCTTCCTGGCCATCGAACACATAATCAAACAGCCCAAGTCTCCTTGGCATTGCTGTTCAAGGTCAGTTATATAGACAAACCTCAAAAGTGAACCCGAGACCCAGAACCAGCAGCCACATGTGCACACGGCCCCTTAGATCCTAATTGGTCCCCATCATTTAACCTGACCTGGAGAACTGCAGCTACTTGAGAGAATGGTAGTCTTGTACCACGGAAACTCTGCATGCTCCTTTGTCTAGAAACACACGAAACCGAGAAGCCGTGAGGCGGAGGCTGGGCACTCCCACACCAAGTCACTGCATGTGCTGTTTCTCCTTTCGTCTTGCTGGCACCCAATTTCTTTCCCTGGGGATCTGCCTGCTCTAAGCTTACCTTTCTTTGCACAAAAAAGGAAGAACATGGAGGGAGGGGGGAAAGGGGGCGGGGGAGGGGACCCTATCCTTTTTATTGCTCTCTCAGGCTGTCTTTCAAGCATTGCATTAGGTAACACAGACCACATATGTTATACCTTTCCAATTGAAATGTGGAGGCAGAAAAGAACCCTCAATACGGATTGATTGGAGAGTTACACCTGAAGGAAGTGATCGCAGATCTAGTCTCTGAATGACCCCAAAGGCGCCTTGAGAGATGAGCAGTTTTTGGCAGAGGTCTGGGTTTCGCCTATTTTTTCTGGTGGCTACCCAGGTTGTTTGGCTTTGCAGCAATTTTGTCAGCAAATTCAATTCTTGCCAGTTGAAATACCAAAAATCTAGAGAGCTTGATTTAAATGGCCTTAGGTGCAGTGAGTCCTAATTTGATAGGAACAATCTTTATTTAAACACCATATATAACCTACAGCTTTCTTTGGTATTCCATTCAGTGACCTCAGCCTTAGGGACACACCCTGAAGTGAGCCTTTTGGAAGCAACAGCTGGGCAGTGACCACTTACCTAAGAGGACAATCCTCTGTGAATAGGTCCAGGAAGTCCTGCTTTTAGGGTTCATATGCCCAATGAGGTGCACTTCATCAAAGAGTCTCTCAGCAGTTCAAAGGAAACGTGAGTGTAAAACCTTCTCTCTATCAACCCAACCAACCTCCCTTCTTTGTTACACCCTCCAGTGATTACATGGTCTACTCCAATCCTGCTACTCAGAGCTAATTAGGAACAAGCTCTCGCGTAAATGCCACAGTCCCGACTTTTCTTTGTATGGCTTGGCAGAGAAGCACAATGCATCACCACCACCCCGACACCTCCACCCCGGCCACAAGAGACTGCAGGCCAGCAAGGGTGGTGGCCAGTAGCTCTGTGGAATCAGAAGGCTGGGCCTCAGCCCGATGTTTGCACAAACACACCTCCTGATTTCCATCCATGAGATCCAAGCAATAGAACCCTAACCCACAGCGCCACCTCCCCCCAAGGACCGCCGCCCACTCCTTGAAGTACCTACCTTCCTCCAGTTCGTCCATGCTCCCGATCTTCCTGGACCCGTCAATGGTGTAAATGTACCGTACTCCCTGAGGCAGGTTGATGTTGTCAGACAGAGATCGAGTCAGGTCAGCCAGCAAGGCGTCGAAGCTGCGGAAACGGTCAGAGGACACCGCGTACACAATCCCCTTGAAGTAGCGGTCCCCATTGCGGTAGAAACGTACCTTCTTGGCTTTCTTCTCGTTGCTCAGCGCCTGCAAGGTTCTGGTTCGGTAGAAGCTACAGTGGGCGCTGTGCGTGGGACTAGGCAGCCCATTCATTCTGGAGCCTCGCATGTTCCTGGATGCCTTGTCTCTTTCGTCAAAGTGTCCAAAATCAAGTTCCATATTTTGGTGGCACTTCAAAGACCTGAGTGTCGGAGAGAGGGATCG